AGAGTATGCACGGTTAGAAAAATCAGACTGTGTGTATAAAATACACACGTGTTTTACTGATGTTGAAATTTACATCACGTAGACTTGACCGCATACCTTAGTATATGCATTAAAAGCCAAAGTATACTTTGGGCTTAAAGTGTTTCCTCTTGCTCTGCAGACTTTGATAACGAGGAGATTCTCACATATGAAGAAATGGCACTATATCACCAGCCAGCCAATCGCAAGCGGCCCATTGCTCTCATCGGCCCACCAAACTGTGGTCAAAATGAGCTCCGACAAAGACTCCTCTCCAGTGAGCCGGACAGGTTTGCTGGTGCTGTTCCTTGTAAGTATCAGAAAACAAACTGTTTATCAGCCTGTGCTAATCGGTAATGTCCTAATTAACAAAATCTCTTTGCCACAGACACCACGCGAAGCCGTCGCGATGTCGAGGTGAATGGCCGCGATTATCACTTCGTGTCCCGTCAGGCCTTTGAGATGGACTCTGCGGCAGGGAAGTTCATAGAGTCTGGAGAGTTTGAAAAGAACCTCTACGGCACCAGCACAGACTCAGTCCGACAAGTCATCAACACGGGCAAAATCTGCCTCCTCTGTGTACACACTCAGGTGAGATGGACCACTTTACTGCAGAGTTTAGCTGCAGCACACCTGCCTGGAAGCTTCTAGTGATCTTTAAGACCTTGATTATCTGGTTCAGGTGTATTTAATTAGGTTTGGAGCTAAACTCTGCTGGAAGCTGGCCCTCCAGGAGCAGAATTGGACACCTCTGCCTTAGCATTTTAGCGGCAAATTTTGAAAACCAAGTACTACATGCTTGTTGGATTGTTATTATTCACTATTTCTTCTACCTTTTTAGTCTTTGAAGGTATTGCGCAGCTCAGACCTCAAGCCCTACATTATCTTCATTGCTCCTCCATCCCAGGAGCGATTGAGAGCCCTCTTAGCAAAAGACAACAAAAACCCAAAGGTAAACATCGGCCCTGAAAGATCAACTCTCAGGAGCCATTCACAAAGAATGTTTTTCGCATTCCACTGTGCTGATTTCCATTGTTTTTCTATGTAAGCATTAGAGCTGTGACGATAAATCGATGCAAAATCGATTCGTGAATCGATTCTGAGATCTTCCGAATTCATCGCGATTCTCTCTGGAATCGATTCTGAGCATAGATTTTAACAGCAGATGGCACTCTAATCTACTTTTTATCCGCACACTCAAATGCTCATGAAGAAG